ACCTGTAGACAAGCTGTCACCTGGAGCCTTGTGTCTGATCAAAGGCAGGTGGATCGAGCGAACATGGTATAAGTCAGACGAGCAAAAACAGAACATATGCCTTGTGGTGTTAATGGAAGCTCATTGGAAGGGTTGGCTTTTAGAAAAACCGTCCGAAAAGGCCAAATGAAGCACAGACAGGCAAATAGTGAACTATGGGAAATCTTGCTTAAAATGCATATTATACTTGTCAATGAAAATTAGTATCATAAAAACAACACTACTATTTAGTAATATTAATAATTATTAAAGCAACAAAGGGTTTTTGAAGGTGCTTTACACATAGTAATAGTTTTATTTAGAATTCATTCTGAATGATTGTTTTATTCTAAATGCTTCTTTATGTTGAGTTTAGGGATCTTTATTCACAGCTTTTTATCTTTCTTTTTTATTTTTTAATCTGTTAGAAACTCTTTCGAAGCCACCTCATTATTGATTTTCTAGAGTTCAATTTGCATTTGGGAAAACAATTTTCTTTACAGTTTTTTCAACTGCTTACACACATTTTCAAAACTTTGTCTCTTTTCAAAACTTTACAAAATCCAAGAATTGCACACACAAAATTCAAAATGCCTCGCATCTCAAGCAAAATTAAGCACTGTATTCAAAATATCACAAACACATCTCAAAAGCAAACTTTTGCAAATGAAGTGTATCCAGCAAGGGTCCAGTGATGTCCTTCAGGTGGGCCAGCACCAGTTTTTCAAATGACGTCATGACCACAGACGTGTGGTGTGTGTGTTAATTGCACACACAAAATGCAGAATGCCTCACATCTCTTGCAAAATGAAGCGCTGCATTCAAAATATCACAAACACATCTCAAAAGCAAACTTTTGCAAACACCTTTGCCGTAATATTAACTCCTGTTAGATTTTTTGTGCGTTACATAGAGAATTGTGTGTTGTGTTTTGCAAAAAGTGTTTTATGAAATTGAAAACCGAGTCAAAGGCTGAGAATTAGTGTATGGTTTTGCAGATTTGGTGTGTGGTTCTGGTGTTTGAGTGTCAGGTTTCAGAAATTGTGTAACAAGTAAAGATTTTGTGTGTAAGCAGTAAAAAAAAAACGTAATTGATCACCTGGCCAAACTGTAGGTTTACCAGAGCAACCAAATGAGTTGCAAAGGTAGGATAGAATAAAAGACTGAAGGAGACTGAAATGGGGAGAAAAGATTGACAAGAGACAAAGACAACTTTCAGAGAGAGGAGCTTTAATTCACAGTAGCCTTAAACAGCAAATTTCTTCTTGGCAAACATGGTTGCTAAGATATCACACTAGTGCTTCTTACTGCTATGTGTTGAAATAACATACATACAGTAAATAGTGTGCATATGAGGCATAAAATAAAGTACATTTTCTTTCAGACAAAAATAATTTAATATATATTTCCTCTTATATCAGCTATATACCTAACCTTCAGTAAGAATATGGTAAATACTTTTCAAATTCATAGTTAACTGACTGCCCCAAGTCCATTTTTACTTTAATACAAATATAAACTAATTCTGAAATAATCCATCATATAATATAGAAAAGTCTATCTACATTCTACTTTTCATTCAGTGAAGGCTGATACAAAACAAGCTCAGGCACCTACACGCATACAGATCACAGAAAGAAACAGAAAGAACCTTTACAGCAAGAGTGTCCAATCCTGCTCCTGAAGGGCCGATGTCCAGCAGAGTTTAGCTCCAACTAGCCCCAATACACCTGCCTGGAAGTTTCCAGGCTTTACACCTTTACATAGTGCACAATTTGAAGGGACAGCCATTAGTAGTGGTGTCCGAAACCATAGTCGTTCAAATGATTATCTTTCATGCAACACAAAAGGAGACATTTTTCAATATAGCTAATGACCATGGCTATTAAGCTCAAAAAGGACAAAAAGCACCCTAGTAGTATCAAAACAATTATCCGTATGACCATATTCCAAGTCTTTTGAGCCCAGTTGTTCAAAACGTTCCCAGGATCTCCAGGATCAGGTAATCCATCTTACTTTTGTGACAGTTTTTCAAAGCAATATTGGATTGTTCCAGAACACCTGGATAGGCTACTAGCTATGTGAAGAACAACAGGTAGGCTACTGAACAGTCAGGTTGGATTACTTTTGTGATTTAAAGAATGCACACAGCAAAGTAAAATGATATAAAAATCCCCTTACAATTGATTTCCACTTTTCCGATGTGATATGTGATGAGAAAAGGAAGAAGAGTGAGATCGGCCAAAAGTGGATTCGAACCCTAGTCAATCGCATCATTGATTTTTTTCTCGAAACACAATGACTTTATTCTCAACATTTTGTTTTGACTTTTTTTCTCTCTCGTAATTTAATGAGTTTATTCCCAACATTTTATTTTTACTGTTTTTCGACTAAATTTAACGAGTTACGTAATTGATCACCTGGCCAAACTGTAGGTTTACCAGAGCAACCAAATGAGTTGCAAAGGTAGGATAGAATAAAAGACTGAAGGAGACTGAAATGGGGAGAAAAGATTGACAAGAGACAAAGACAACTTTCAGAGAGAGGAGCTTTAATTCACAGTAGCCTTAAACAGCAAATTTCTTCTTGGCAAACATGGTTGCTAAGATATCACACTAGTGCTTCTTACTGCTATGTGTTGAAATAACATACATACAGTAAATAGTGTGCATATGAGGCATAAAATAAAGTACATTTTCTTTCAGACAAAAATAATTTAATATATATTTCCTCTTATATCAGCTATATACCTAACCTTCAGTAAGAATATGGTAAATACTTTTCAAATTCATAGTTAACTGACTGCCCCAAGTCCATTTTTACTTTAATACAAATATAAACTAATTCTGAAATAATCCATCATATAATATAGAAAAGTCTATCTACATTCTACTTTTCATTCAGTGAAGGCTGATACAAAACAAGCTCAGGCACCTACACGCATACAGATCACAGAAAGAAACAGAAAGAACCTTTACAGCAAGAGTGTCCAATCCTGCTCCTGAAGGGCCGATGTCCAGCAGAGTTTAGCTCCAACTAGCCCCAATACACCTGCCTGGAAGTTTCCAGGCTTTACACCTTTACATAGTGCACAATTTGAAGGGACAGCCATTAGTAGTGGTGTCCGAAACCATAGTCGTTCAAATGATTATCTTTCATGCAACACAAAAGGAGACATTTTTCAATATAGCTAATGACCATGGCTATTAAGCTCAAAAAGGACAAAAAGCACCCTAGTAGTATCAAAACAATTATCCGTATGACCATATTCCAAGTCTTTTGAGCCCAGTTGTTCAAAACGTTCCCAGGATCTCCAGGATCAGGTAATCCATCTTACTTTTGTGACAGTTTTTCAAAGCAATATTGGATTGTTCCAGAACACCTGGATAGGCTACTAGCTATGTGAAGAACAACAGGTAGGCTACTGAACAGTCAGGTTGGATTACTTTTGTGATTTAAAGAATGCACACAGCAAAGTAAAATGATATAAAAATCCCCTTACAATTGATTTCCACTTTTCCGATGTGATATGTGATGAGAAAAGGAAGAAGAGTGAGATCGGCCAAAAGTGGATTCGAACCCTAGTCAATCGCATCATTGATTTTTTTCTCGAAACACAATGACTTTATTCTCAACATTTTGTTTTGACTTTTTTTCTCTCTCGTAATTTAATGAGTTTATTCCCAACATTTTATTTTGACTGTTTTTCTGCTAAATTTAACGAGTTTTTTTCTCGAAACTCAACGACTTTATTCTCAAAATTTAACGAGTTTATTCCCAACATTTTATTTTGACTGTTTTTCTGCTAAATTTAACGAGTTTTTTTCTCGAAACTCAACGACTTTATTCTCAAAATTTAACGAGTTTATTCTCATCATTTTGTTTCGACTTTTTGTTCTCTCGTAATTGAATGAGTTTATTCCCAACATTTTATTTTGACTGTTTTTCTGCTAAATTTAACGAGTTTTTTTCTCGAAACTCAACGACTTTATTCTCAAAATTTAACCAGTTTATTCTCAACATTTTGTTTCGACTTTTTTTTCTCTCATAATTTAATGAGTTTATTCCCAACATTTTATTTTGACTGTTTTTCTGCTAAATTTAACGAGTTTTTTTCTCGAAACTCAACGACTTTATTCTCAAAATTTAACCAGTTTATTCTCAACATTTTGTTTAGACTTTTTGTTCTCTCGTAATTTAATGAGTTTATTCCCAACATTTTATTTTGACTGTTTTTCTGCTAAATTTAACGAGTTTTTTTCTCGAAACTCAACAACTTTATTCTCAAAATTTAACGAGTTTATTCTCATCATTTTGTTTCGACTTTTTTTTCTCTCGTAATTTAATGAGTTTATTCCCAACATTTTATTTTGACTGTTTTTCTGCTAAATTTAACGAGTTTTTTTCTCGAAACTCAACGACTTTATTCTCAAAATTTAACCAGTTTATTCTCAACATTTTATTTCGAATTTTTTCTCGAAATTTAACGGGTTTTATCTTGCATTATAATTACTTTAATCTCAAGATGGTTTTATTTTTTTTATTAATGCTTGACCATAATCCTCTTCCGTACTTATACTACACCGAAAGGCTTTTATGAAATTTTGTACTTTGAATCCACCCTACTAATCCTGATTTTTTTTTTTTTTCAAAAATTTCTCAATCTTACTAAAAAGTTCTAAATAATACATACCCTGAATGTTTGAACCCGATCAAATTATGTGATCTAATCTGATTATGTGATTATAATCAGTTATGCAATGATTATAATACATAATCCTTTTTTTTTAATCAGCTGTGCCATGAAGTCATATGATTGCTTTGACTGAAGAACAAAAATTAAATCCTTATTCACAAAATCAATTTAATGTTACTTTTTTTATTTTTTGAGATTAATAGCCACCAGTCACTGCATCCTTTCATTGTATGGAAAAAAAGCAGTTTGGACATTCTGCTAAATTTCTCCTTTTGTCATATGGGTCTGAAATAACATGACAGAATTTTAATTTCAGGTTGAACTATTTCTTTAAATTCTGAACAGAACACAAAAACTGCCATGTGTTCCAAAGTAAACAGTCCCCACTTTATGGCTTCACCTGAGCAGCCTGCAGTCGATGTGCAATTCTTGAATTCCTCTTTTATGCTGCATTTGGAATATTGAACATTCAGCGCTTGCTATCAAAAGCACAAGCCTCAAGTCTCCAGATCCAATCCACATAATACCCTTGTGCCTGGCTTTGACATTTTCACTGATAAACAAAAAGCTCTGTTCTTTCTATTCTAAGCTTGTCAAAGCCTGAATTATTCCTTTTCAAATAGGAGTGGCAATCAAAGCGTAGTATGGGGAGGTGATAAATCGATTGAATTGATATCTAGGTTTACAGCGGGGTGCAAGACCAGCACTAGGACATGATGCCAAAGACCGGGTTGTGGCGACAGATTCTGGGTCCATATTCCTCGTAGTCCTTCTTAGAGTGGCAGACTTGGAAGAACTCAGGCTATAAGAAAGTAAAATGTACAAATATATTCGAAATGTACTGTAAAGAGACTGTGACATAATGAAATATATGAGCATTACCGTAGAAGCCAACATCGATCCACCAAACCACACGGCATAACGCTGCATGTGATGGGATATCACCTGCACCTCCATGGGTTTGGGCTGAAAGTAGAATCAGATGTACAGAAAAAGCAGAACGAAAAAAGACAATAGCGAGGTGTGTAGCTGCCTATTGCTATTGACACAGGCAGCATCCTGACTGTTATGAAACCTACTGTAAGTGACCAATTCGGAACATCCGATGAAACATCACTTGACATGCTCAGAAGACTCCTAATTCCAATATAATTTAGCTAATTGAATAGTGCGATACATAGAACAACAATACACACTAATCACAACAATGCACAGATAAATATTGGGTAAAATAATCCATTTTTAATTACTGTGATGGAGAGATCATGGAGTAGTCTTCCATCACCATCACTGTATTTTACTGTGTCTCTACTGTCATTATGTATTGTTGGTTTTAATTTTTATTTATTTCCATGTTTTAGCAGAGTGGATGTGGCCTTTAAACAAGCACAAACCTGAAGACGAGTACTTATTTTATTTATTTCCGAAAACATTTATGTTTTGTTTTTATCTGTCCTATTTTTTATTTATTTTTTTTTGCATTTATTGTTTTAACTTTTATTCTTACGTTATTTTATTTATTGAATAAAATGCATAAGGCAAGAGTTGGCACATTCCAATTATTGATGCGGAAAAATGTACGCGCATATAAGGTTCGCTTCACTATTCCGTGTGAGAGCTGTGGACAGATTGTGTTTTGAGATCAAATAAAAAAAGGTTATTGATAGTGCTCCTTGATTGTGGAAATGCTGCAGCCTTTTATGGAGGGAAGTTGGAATCGTGCAGTTTTATAGACTGTGTTTTTATTATTAACCTCTGTTTAGGGTTTCTGCGGATCTTTAAAAGCATCAATTCACCCTTCCACAAATTAAGGCCTTAAAAGGTCTTAAATCAGAGAGTCCTAAATTCATAAAGTCATGGCACTTGTTTTCCCTTTGAATTAAGTAGATTTTTCTGAGCCCATTGGCAGATATTTGTTCTCCCTAGATATTTAAATTTAGAGAACATACTGACTGTGTTCCCTTCCATTTATTTCTTACATTTTCTTTACTTGGTCTAAAAAAGATCTTTAAAAAGTCTTACATTTACCTACCTGCAGAATTCCTGTTTGTGTAATTATGCATTTTCCACATTTGTTTTTAATAAACAACTATTGTGTCCTCGTTCCATCCGGGAGGGATTCTCCTTTCAGCCACTCGGGTGCTTATCGCAATTACAGTGGACTATTTTTTACAGTTTCAGAACTGAATGAAAACTAAACAAATATTTTTCTCACCTCATCTGCCATCTTATCTTTCCAATGAGCTAGCAACAGTGCATTACGGTGTAAGCTGTAAAGATACATGAAGTGCAGCCTTAGATTTTGGGTAGAATAATTAAGAACCTCTTGAAACAGCCTTAGTGTCGACAGACACCTTAAAATGCTGCCAGCCTTGCGAATGCTGAATGTGAGCGTGAGGTGAGAAATTCTGAGACAGTAATGAGATCAGACCTTTATTCTGCCGCCACTGAGCTCCTCACTCATTTTGAGTCTGGCATCCACCACACGCTTCAGGTCCCGCTGCAGCCTGCGGCCAAAGTCCCGGAACATAGTGGAGCCACCGGACAGGACTATGTTCTAATACACACACACACACACACAATTCTGAAATATCTGCCTTTACATTTACATTTACATTTAGTCATTTTGCAGACGCTTTTATCCAAAGCGACTTACAATTTGGGGATACATAAAGTGATTCTTCTTAAAGAGGCAAACAGATACAGGAAGTGCTTGTAATACCAAGTTTCTAGACATTGTTCAAATAAGTACAAGCTAGAAAGAGAAGGAATAAAAAAAATATGTTCACCCAAAAACAAAAACAAAAAAAACCTTAGTACACAAATATATAATTCATGGAAAAACTAATGCAAAGGCATCTATAAACATTTGCTTCTGTTTGAATGGAATAATTTTCGTGACAAGGACAAAGCATTACCGCTCCACCGTCCATGTGCTGTATATAAGGAGTAAAACTTAATTTAAACAAATAAATAAATCAAAATAAAATCCACAACATTACAGATATTAAATCACTGAAATTAAAAGAAACATCTTTGGGTAAAATGCAATATTGTGGAAACAAGTAATACATTTAGATTTTGTCCACTTATTAAATAAATCCTCCAGTCCACAGAATGTTTTAATAAAAAATAAAAGCAAAATATTGAATTTTTTCCTTTATACTTCTGCAATAAGCTACTGTTACTTTTTTTTTTTCTGGCAGACACTGACAAGGCCAGTAGAGTTGCATGCTGGGAATAAATGACCATGTGCTGACTGAGGTCAGCTTATAACAGGGTATCTGCAGGAGATGTGTGTTCCATTACAGGTTTCAGGGTTCAATTCTTATTTAACGAACTTGAGGAGATATCCCGCTACTTGGAAAAGGAAATGCTGGTTTCATCTAGGAAATAAAAGGCTGGCTTCTTCCATCTTTTCTGATGATGAGTTTAAAGGGTGGATGGACCGTGGCAGTGGACCCTTTCACTGAGATGAACAGCTTTTAACCTACACTGCATGCCAGAAGTCGGTAAGAGATATCTTATATGTGCATACTAACATGCACCTTTTTCATTTGCCCTCTGTTCTTTGGTGATATCAAGATGCACATAATTCATTTAATCTATAATTCATTTTTTATACCTGAAGACTTAACCCTCCAGCTCAGGATAATCAAATAATGTCAAATTTACACCGCAAGGGTGGCACAGAAGTGCTTCTGAAGTGGCATTTAGGTTTCTTTATTATTTAATGTTGCTCAAAGGTGGAATAAATACACTGACGCTGCAATTACAATTGCATAATTTTATTCTAGCAGCTGAGGTGAGTCAGAGAAGGCATACTTTAGTGTGGCTTTTATGCAGCATTATGTCTTTACACTGAATTTTGAGCAGGCAAAAAGCAACCTTTACTCAGCGGTGCCTTAATACATTTTGTAAGGTCTTTTGCATTACCACCTCTGCTTAAAGTTGTGTAAAACAATCTTACTAGGGCCAATGCAAGATGTGAATGTCTTTTTTCCCCCCTCAGGTATAATGAAAGCTTTCTGACATTATGCAGCTTTTACAGTTCACAGATTTCAATAGTAAATATCTGCACAATCAATCCATGTACTCAGTTCTATGTCATGTACTAACCTATTTCCTATGCTTATGAAAGACAACCTAGCCAGTTACAGTATGTGTGTCATTGCCCAAACACATTCAACATGCAAACCCTGGGTCTTTCTCCTGCAAGCACCGTTTCACTTTTCACCATCCAATCAATTATTGATGAATAAATGGGTTGAGAACAAAGTTCCATGTTTTATTCTATAGCTGTCCAAAACAACAAATGCAACTGAAAACCTCCCTCTTGTCAATGCTGGGAGAAATATGGGTATATTAAGGTTTGAAAGCAGTTGTTATTGTGTGGGTGTGTGTGTGTGCATAATGGGTATTGCGGTTCTCTATTGTAGAAGTTACAATACTTCAATACTTCAGTTAAAGTCCTTCAGCCCACTCTGAAACTTTTGTTAAAAAAAAACAACAACTTCTAAATGTTTGCTGACAAATGAAAATAAATCCAATAGTCATGTAGATCTTGTTACACGAAGCAGAAAAAAGAAAAGAACTGGCTCACAGGTTGGACCGCCATAAAAGCAAGTTTTTGTGGTGTAGCCTAAATGTCACTGCATGTAACCTATGCCATGGAGATATACACTTGTTCACAGCAACAACAAAAAAAAGCACTTCCTTTGTAAAATATATCGGCATGGCAAGCACAACACTTTCATTTTAGTGAGCTGGCAGTAATGCAAAAGTAACTTGATGATTAAAAGTAACAACACAAAACCATAAAGAAGTTACTTTTTTTAATTAAGTAACATAATATTGTAATGCATTTGCCTTAGGTGTAGTATTCCTAAGACAGATACCTAATGTCAGTTCTAGATACAACCCTAGATGAACCAATCACTGTTCAGAGGCCTTTGTTGATTAGTTTGCATATGCTGCCAAGACGTTTTACACCTCAAGAAATCTTGGCAGAAAAAGAAAATAAAGCTAAAAGAGCATCAAAGCACTTTCCATTTAATATCCAATTCCTTTAGTATAGTTCAGAGAGAGGTTTGTTTTGAAGGCAAATGAATAGGAATCATTTCAGCGCACTGTGATGTAGATGTGCACTAATTATCAATGTGCATAATTGAATTTGTCAAGACGCTATCTATTCAGTCGGGCTGCGAGTTGTGAGATATAGACATGGATACTGAGGTTATTTATTTCAGAGCTGTTCATCCCATTTGCAGGAGAGAGTGTAGAGTAATTGTGAACTCAGTGGATAAACATTGACCCCTGCTGGACAAATAAAAGAACTGATCCCAAGCAAAAGCAATATTCAGTCAGTTAAATGTCAACAGTTCTGTTTTCTCTTATTTTTTGCCTCAGGATATATAGATGTGTGCTGGGCTCCCATTAATCTTTTTTACAGGTTAAAACAATAGACAGTAGGGGAGGAAAAATGTAAATGAAAAGGCATCTCGCCTTTTAACTAATACCAATCACTTTTCAGTCACTCTAGGTTTACTCTAAAATGCACATGTGCATTGGCTGGGCCAACCTGAATAACTTTTTACTGTGACTTTAGCAAAAAGAAACCATTGTAGTCCGATTTTAGTGGTGAAATTGATGTTTTGGAAACAAAACTTTGACAAACAGTTTAGAGCAGGGGTGTCCAAACTCAGTCCTGCAGAGTTTAGCTCCAACCCTAATTAAAAACACCTAAATCAGATAATCATGGTCTTACTAGGCATGCTAGAATCGTCCAGGCAGGTGTGTTGAGGCAAGTTGGAGCTAAACTCTGCAGGACAGCGGCCCTCCAGGACCGAGTTTGGACACCCCTGGTTTAGAGTTTTATTCTTTCATTATTCAAGCAGACAAAAGCTGTATTTGCATGACTAGAAAATAGCTGCCCAGGGAGTGTAAACAAGATAAAGTCAGCTTGCTCCAATAAGGACTTTGGAAAGAGAGGAAAACACTACGAGTTTGAGTTTGAATTTGATCAAATTGGATATTATAAATATGTCTATACCATGTTAGTTGCTGGCCTATATTAGTGCCCCTTATTGTGCAAATGTAATTTCTCATTCACTGGTCAGCTTGACAGTGAAGTCTGAACACTGTAATGTACAGGGTCGGTGCTAACAAACTTACTGAAAAGCCAGAAGTTGTGCTGATCTATAGCTATATTTGATAGAGCAATGTCATTTCTCTGAATGTAATGCAAATTTACCAGGATACCAGTATGAATGCTTGCTGGAGTTTAACACTCCATTCCACTTAAGTTGAATAATCCTGAATAATCAAATAAATGTGAAAGAGTAAATTTACAATCCCCTCCTCTTGTATTATATAATGTAATAGGAAATTCTAGTTGTCCAAATCCACTGTATCTATTTTGGTATTAAAGGGATAGTTCATAATTTACTCACCCTCATGTCATTCCAAAACTGTATGACATTCTTTCGTTCTGTGGAACATAAGAGAAGATATTTTGATTTTTTTTTTTTTCATACAATGGCAATCAATGGCCACCAAAACTGCTTGGTTACAAACATTCTGCAAAATATCTTCTTTTGTGTTCTGCAGAATAAAGAAATGCACAGATAAAATAATTTGAGCAAAGAATGGATGATGTTTCATCAACATGTCATGCTTGAACGTTGCTATAATTATTTGTGCTGTTAACTTATTAGAACAGATAAAAATTATCAGCTGATTTTCCATATGCCTATAAGTATATACTACATTTTCTGTATCCTAAGTTCATTTAAAGCTGGACCCTCTTACTCACGTCTACAGCCTGGAAGTGTGGAGAATTTTGTCTTCTTTTAACTTTCTGTCAACTGACTGAACCTAAACTTTAACTCCTGGTTAACACTCAAGATATTATATAGGATTTAAAATTCAGTTGTGTTCATTTGTGAAGATTATCATGATGAACAAAATGTGTAAGAATCATAAACTTTTGTTGCTCACAGAGCTTATTGGGTTTTAGTTGAGGGAATCAGGGTTCCCTTGGCCTACAAAAATGCATCAACACTGCAGCGCTCTGCAGCATGATAATATTGGTATTGTACCTTGTAAAGTGGTCTTCTGACATCGATAGGGCAGTTCTGAATGACTTCATCCACTACATCTGAGATGGGCTGCACGAAGTCTGGGTTGGCAAACTACAGAGTGAAAAGACCTTTTACTACAGAGTTTCCAAAGGTCATTCTGGGTATACATGTTGAATAATTCAGAGAGTGTGGGCTTTTTACCTCAGGGTGAAAAAATATCTCTGGTCCCAGAAAACGCTCATATCCAACATCTATTTGAAATTCATTTTTGCTGATAGCATTGATTCCCTTGTATTTTTTTATCCATTTGCCAGGGTCCATGTCATATTTGGTGAATTCCTTCACTATGTCTGGACACATGTAGCAATACCTTTCCTTAAAAAAACAGAATAATGCAGATAGGGAGTACAAAAGTTGTTTTAGACATAAATATGGCTATTATATCGTTATTTGCTATTATAAAATGAATCCAGATCAGAACCTGTACACTGACTGTACATTATCCCAGTTACTACACAGTCAACACACAGCCTGCATCCCAATGTACATTTACATCAAACTGATTTCAGTTCAAATGATTTCATCTTGTGTGTAGATTTGCAGAAAAATAAGTAGACAACTGTGAAATCTAAGTTTACTTTATTTCTCTACACAAAAAAATAAAATAAATAAAATAAAAAATAAAATATTTGATCACTCTATGTCACAGTTGACCAATCGGAATGAAGCATTCCAGAGAGAGGAATATCATCCTTGCTGATACTCACTTTAACAGCTTTTGCAGTCTCCAGTGACTGTTCTGGAGGAATGCCGATCTCTCTCTCTCTTAGCAGCTGTTGAATGAAGTAGGTGATGTCTCTGCCTGCTATAGGGATGTGCTTTATACAGCTGCCAATCACATAACCTTCTGCCTAAGAGATAAAAAAGAAACAGAAATCAGCCATCTAAATTGTTGAGGAAAACTCTAGCAACATATATTTGCAGATCACACTTAATCACACTTTGGCTTATATGTCTACTTTTTGATGGTACTGTATGAAAACTGTTTACCACTGGTATAGCATGAGTAACCCCATCACCACTATCAATCACGATTCCTGTTAGTGTTCGTTCTCCAACCTGTCTTGAAGTCCACGATGCAGCCAATGCCAAAACAGCCTAAAAAATAGCCACAAAGATAAAATTGCTGTTTCTGACATATTCCATGCTGAATACAGGAATGTGCCTAGTGCGAATGATCCCTATATTTACTCTGGGTAGATAGAGCAATGCAATTCAAAAAACTTCAAATATGAAAAATACGAGAAATGTAAAAATAATGAAATCTGATACATTATAAACTCCTCTTGTGTTAAAAAAGTCTGTATAATTTATAACCCACATATTATAATGTTCAAAATAAGCAAAAAATTAAAATATTTCCTTCATATTTTAGTGCTGCGTTCGACACCATAGATCATGACATACTCATAGATCGATTACAAAACTATACTGGTATTCAAGGGCAGGCTTTAAGATGGTTTAGATCCTACCTGTCCGATCGCTACCACCTTGTTCATTTAAATGGGGA